GGGTACATGAACCACAGTGGGGGGTACATGAACCACAGTGGGGGGTACATGAACCACAGTGGGGGGTACATGAACCACTGTGGGGGTACATGAACCACTGTGGGGGGTGCATGAACCACTGTGGGGGGTACATGAACCACAGTGGGGGGGTACATGAACCACAGTGGGGGGGTACATGAACAACTGATACATGTAGTGAGTTGTTAGGAAACTATTTCTGTCCTACTCTACATTTACCAAGTTGTGTTTACTGACCARCATTTATTCACCTTTTTAATCAGACTCATCTTTACTGAAATGAGGTCGTATGGTGTAACAGTGGATTCTTATCTCAGACCAGCATACTCAAAGATGATGAACCAGCTTTATCTTTTATAGTAATTTATTACAGCAAGAATCAATTTCATTGAATCATGGCTAAAAACAGTAAAAATAACAACATGAAAAAGTAAAGTTTATAAASCAGTTAAAGATGAAAAGGATTGAAGACTTGATGTTAAATGTCCAGTTCAGATAAGGTCTGGATGTAAAAACCTTTAAAAAACACTGGGTGTTAAAATGAGAGGACATTATTCATCTTCAGATCACAGTATAATACACACACTTTAAATACAAATACCTTTAAAAGGAAAATCATGTTAATGATTATTAATGCTGATTTCCTTTTTAATATAATGACTCACAAAAGTTTAAAACATTGTCACGTCAGCATTATCTGCAGACCAGGTCATATTTTGAAGCTAAAATAATTTTGTCTCTAAAATAACTTTTTCAAAAACAAAGTTCAGTTAGTTGTGAGACAAAAGGTCACATCAGGTCACGGTCGTTCATGCTATGTTTATTATTCTTATTTAACCCATTCTATATTACTTTTTATTCTGTTATTAATCTGTAATTCACTCAGAGTTTCTCTGTTTCACACATGTTCAGGAACAAATAAATAACCACATTTTAATTAAAGAAACATTTTATTGTGACTTTTAGAAAAAAGTAAGCAGTAATAAAGTTAAAGTTGGCAGAAACTAACCAAATAAAATCATTTTAAAACACTCTGAAGGTGTGGTCCTTTACACAGTGGTGTTTAAACTGGGACCACCAGGGGGCTTCAGAGCAAAATAAAAAAAATAGATACATTAAATCTAATAAATGTTTAAATAATTAATATAAAATCTAATCTGTTTTTCAGTCACAATGTTACAATCTAATTATACATATAGAGAAAATGCATTTCCTGTGAAGTTACTAAGTGAATGCTTATTGAAATCTAAAATCATCGTCCAAACTGGTGCAGACCCTGTTTCCATGTCATTCCCAGTGTTCCTCAGCAGATCTCTGTGTCCCACTGAGCCCAGCTCTGGTTTTAAACCAGCCTCTCTTCAGCTCTTCAGTGTCTGTTGTTGTTCGTCCATGTTTGGTGCACGTCTGTTCACGCCTCATGTCCCTGCCTTTTGTTTTAATAAAGTTTTATTGAATTTTTGAACCTTCCTGATTGTGTTCGGGTCCATCCTGCTACCAAAACAGACGTTGGTCCCATCGAGCCTTCGGTCATGGTATTTATACCAATAAAACAAAAGATCATACACAACCAGGGAACTATAGATTTAACATCTAATACCTACAAACATTTGGTAAAAATGATCAATTAAAGGTTAACATTTTATATATAAAAGAAAAGACAAATTTTCAAAGTGTGTTTATAAAAGGCAGGATCACAATGGGTCCAGTCTTGTGTCTGCTACATGAAATCAGAGAAGCTCAGATTAATGAGGAACGTGTTGTAACAGTGTTTTTAATGTAGAAAAAACTTCTGACGTGTTAGAGAAGGTCTACTGATAAAACTGAAGAAAATGGGAATTACAGGACGTATGTTTAAATGGTTTGAAGATTTCTTATCAGGAAGACAAATACAAATTAAAAAATGTCAAGATAATTCAGACGAATATAGAAAATGGTGCACCACAGGGAACCATAGTCAGCCCACTATTATTTCCATAATGATAAATGATGTTTGACAACATCGAAGGTGCTGCGAACGTCATTGTTTGCAGACGATGGAGCTTTATGTATTAGAGGAAATATATTTACAGTAAATAAGTTTCAGAATGCAATAAATGTTGAAAACTGGTCAATAGGTGGGGATTTAATTTTTCTGTTGATAAGATAAAATAGTATTATTTACAAGGAAAAAGATAACTAATAATGTTGAACTTAAATTATATGTACAAGTACTTGAACAAGTAAAACAACTTAAATCTTTATATGGTTTTATTAAAAATAACACGGTCAGTTCATATTTGAAGACTGGTTGATAAATGTAAAATAATATTAAAAGGTGTTTAACAGGAAGAGACTGGGCAGCAGACAGGAACTACACAAAACTAATCAGATCAACACTGGACTGTTTATAACTCAGCATCAGATACATCTTTACAAAAATTAAAATACAGCTAAAAATTAAAATACAGCTAAAAATTAAAATACAGCTAAAAATTAAAATACAGCTAAAAATTAAAATACAGCTAAAAATTAAAATAAGGTTAGATCATATAGATGTATTAAGGGGACATTCAAAACCAGAAAGTACTCTTGTCTTAATTCAGTACTTATATGAATGAAGTTATCAGTTACCAAATTTCCCTCTGGGATGAATAAAGTATTTTTGAATTATCAGTAACTATATTAGTCTGAGAGCTCTGCAGTCATTGGCTGACTTTAAAAAGGCTTGAAGACTTTTCTTTTTAATCCAGAATATTCTGACTCTGCATGGATTTACCACTGGTTTTACCACTGGTTTTACCACTGGATTTACCACTGGATTTACCACTGGATTTACCACTGGTTTTACCACTGGTTTTACCACTGGATTTACCACTGGTTTTACCACTGGTTTTACCACTGGTTTTACCACTGGATTTACCACTGGTTTTACCACCGGTTTTAACAGAGCGTG